TATATATATATAATCGTTATATAATGCGTATATTACTCATTGATTTCTCGGCTTACTTCCAGCTTAAGTTACACAACAAAAAATCTGGATGTTAATAACTGCACATATTAAAATTAAATATGAATAGTATAATTTAAAATTAAGACTCTTTGGATATTTACAATAAAAAAATTTTTTTAAAACATTATTTAAATGATCGTAACCAGGAGATAATATCTTTTTCTGAAAATAAAAATTGTATTTTCCTCTGGGAAATATGTTTCTATCATAACCACATAAACAAGAATTGTGAAGGGAAAACTTCGGAAAGAAAGAAGAAAAAGAAGAGTGTATGAAGATGACAAAAAAAGATACTGAACTGCATTCCAATTTCACACTGTTGCAAGCATGCAGCAACAGGACAATAAAACGATCTGTCTATCGCGACAAAACATTCTAGAGCGAAGTATATAATGTAAAAAGATAAAAGTTCCGTTCGTGCTAAGGTAAGAAATTGAGGAGGAAATAAAAAGTTGCATGGTATAGCGAACAGCCGGTGAATTCGCGCAGAAAATGTCGCAAAACGCGAAACAGGTCGTTTACGATACTGTCTGATCGGTTATGTGATCTATCACTTGTCGGATTACCACGCTCGAATTTCTCTCCTCGACTTGTCAGCAAATCGTGTTCACAACAGTTCAAACCGCATCGTGCGTATAAATGAAGTTAAATCCATCAGTGATACAAGTAAATGAATAATCCGACCCGTATTAATACTCGTTGATATTGAAAACACTATTAATCAATCTTTGATCCATGAATTTATACTACCATCGTTTTACTTTGTATAACAGAGAAAGGATCACATTATTATTATTATTTTTTCCAACCTTATCAAATATTTATTCTCAACATTGTTAAAAAATTACTCCATCGTGTGTGTGTGTGTGTGTGTGTGTGTGTGTGTGTGTGTGTGTGTGTGTGTGTGTGTGTGTGTGTGTGTGTGTGTGTGGTGTGTTTGGTAACTCTTTTCTAATATAATAAAAAGTTTCCTCCCAAAATTGGGGACAATTCTAGGGGAAAAATAGGGTTTCTTTCTCTAACCCATCGGGAATTTATTTTCTTTAGTGGAAGAACTTTAACACAGGCGAGAGCTCCATTCTGTTTATTGGGGGACCTTTAATGTGGTCAGTAGTCTCTATTCCTCTAACACGGTCACGAGATTTAATTTCGCACGCTGTTTTTCCTCATGTGCTGTGATGCAACATTAATTGCTTCCGCGCGGTTATAACGCTGATATTATGGAGGTGCGTCGACCCGATGCGGCGGTCTTTTCGCACTCGGAATCGATACTGCCTCCGATTAACCGTTATGTGACGTGTAAATTACGCGATGAGATCAATTTTGCGAAGAATCCAATAGATTTCGATAACATATTTTGTGCATTTACATGTAACTTATAAAAAAAAAAAGAGAAAGAGAAAGAGACGAAGAACACGACGCGTTGTGCACGCACGTTGTCGGGTATGCCGCTCGCTGAAAAATTTCTCCTTTCTATTTTAAAACAACACCTACGACTTCGTTTTAGGCCGCAGACTGGGGCATAAGTGATGCCCGATGATTTCACGTGTCGTAGTCAAGAATGCGTATTTTTTTTTATACTGAAGAGAAAAATAGATAAATGGGGAAAAAGGAGAGCAACAACGAGAATCTCGGCGGAGCGCGCGCGATAGTCGCGTGCGTTCTAGGACGCGTGAGAACTTCGACTGAGCTTTCAGACCTTGCTTCGACATGCTTCTACGGAACACATTCCATTCCGATCGATTCTTGCGGATAGTTGCCATGAGCTTGCAAGCTTTGAGCGAGAACTCCATTACCGATGGACCGCGACTAACTATCGATTTCTCTAATGTTGAAAATGTGGCGAGCTTTACTCGGTAAAGCTCGAGTCACTTTACCAGTATATTACTGGGTGATCGACATCTAATAATAATCTAATATCAACACATGTTAGAAACATTTTTCCTTCTTTTCGAAGCCATCAGTCGATTGAATCGAGATGTTCTTGTAAGCTTCGTTACCGAGCTTCGCTTTCCTAATCAATATTTGATAAGATATTGATATCAATAAAAATACATATTCGAATCCTTTAACTATGTATACTTTTATAGATGAATTAATTATTTGTTTTATTTCATATATTAAAATGTATCGGCAATATTTTCCGTGAGCGTGAGAATAGATTTTTTAATTTTATGCAGTCTAATAATATAAGAAATAAAACTTGAATGATTACTGAATAATAATTTATAATTACATATTAAAAAATTTTAATAACGTAAAACATACACAATCTATGAGACAATTGATATTTGTATTTTATTTTAATATATAATTTAAACAATATGGTTTGCGCGTTCCGATATTCATTCTCAATATTAAAAATTTATAGTGTACGCTGTCTACTATAAATCAGCACTAATAAATATCGGAACGCAATCAATTTTAACACTAGGGGTGGAATCCATAGACGTTATTCAAGATTCGAGATGGTCTTAAGCTAGTGCTTGAGATTTCATGAACCAATCAAAGAGCCGTATTATCCTCTTAAGACATTGCATGAGATGGTCTTGAGATTAAGAACGGACTATGGATTCCGGTCTAGAATTGCGGATCTAAATTAATCCAAACACGGTTCAAAGTAAATTTGGTTTTTTACGATATCACCATAAAATTACTTGTAATTAATTATGATTATTTATGAATATATCTATAATTATATATGAAATAATCACAAAAATCTAAAGCTCCACATGTAAAGCCAAATTAACTGAAAAAAAAAAACTGTCAGATGAGTTAAAAATGGCACAGCCGTGGTTCTAGTGTCAACAGTTTATTCTGTAAAAAGCGACTGTTGGTAACGGATTACCTAAATAGGAGCTTGCAAGCTCGATAGAAAAAGATTCTTGGGAAGCTTCAGCAAGTAATAATATCCAGCGGCCGATAAAATAGCGAATGAAGTTTTATTTTTCAACAGCAAAAAGCTCCTTTAAAAAATTGATCGTGAAACTAATGAAAATATAAAACAATTTAATATGGCATTTTAAAAATTATATAAAAATTATATATTATTACATTATTTAAATACCATTAATTGAAAGCGTTTTAACAATTTTCTTATACAATTAAATTGCTTTGCAATATATAATACTTGCAATTTCGTGTTGAAGGACTCCATAATTTTTGTATATACATGTTTATCATGAATTCATATCGCTTTTGCTAAAATCTATTACCATTAGCTAAATCATAACATATGAACCATTACAAATCATTGATATATTCGTAATCATACAATATTTCGCATGCATATTGTCAGAAATAAAAGCACAAAGAATCAATATTATGTGCGTTGAAATTAACATGATTATATTCGTAGAGGATACAAGACCTCGTTGATTACTCTTTAAAATGCCTAAATCAAAGCTTACAAAGACATGTGCTATTATTATCATCTGATAAAATAACGATCTACATTTCGTTCTTCGTATGTTATTCCATACGTCTTGCATTCATCTCTTGCATGATTAGTAAAATATATTTATAACGTTGTTTATCAATGGAGCTGTCTGCACTGTTATTGTAAAACAGTATACGAGAAATGAAGCATTGTTTCTTTTTTATGATTATTTTGTGGATATATTGGGTCGTCCGGAAAGTTCGTGCCAATGTTGAAGGAAAATTGAAACGCAGAAAATTTAAATTTTAGTATACATTTATTAAATTGTATAGGTTAGTCGGCACAAACTTTCCAGACAACCCAATACATAAATAAATTTTATTTTTCTTAATTAACATATTTATATATTTTTTTTCTATATATATTCTGTGTATACATATATCTATATTTATATATATTGGTTTATTTTTTCGATTTATAACACTGAAAATTGCTTATTAAAATGATTTTTGTTATCTCTTTTAAATGATAAGAAGATATAATTGCAAATTTTTTACAGTTATTCTGAACTTGTTGCTTCCAGTTAAACTAGTGCAAGTCATGCATATCAAAAAGAATAAAGTGCAACGCTAACAAGAGATCAATTTTTATTCCTGTATTATGAAACGTGACGAGAGGCAATTGCTTTGGTATCCACGATTATCTCGAATGACATTAAGACTTACCCTTTGGAGAGAGTTCGTTATTGTCTCCCAAGTAGAATGGCCCTTGGCGCATCACGATCTCGTGAACGATTATAGCAAAGCTGTACACGTCACCTTTCTGAGTGCCTTCGGGCAGTTGTCTCTCCATCCTCAGCAATTCCGGAGCTGTCCAAAGCTGTTCTGTAAACACCAAATTTCCTGCACTAAAAAATCAGACCGGGTAGAGCGATTTAACGCAGTCTCTCTTTCCTTTTCCATGCGTTCGATGATTATTGTAAATATAAATTATAAATCAAAACATCGTTGAGATCAAAAATATTTGTCGCGTTTAAAATTTCTGTTATACGTCAGAAATTATTGATATCTGTTTTTCCCACGCATGTGTGAGACATGCGACAAAATGTTGTTTGTCCAAATAATTAAATTGTCATAACATAAGTTTTATATGTTTATTTTGATTCTAATATCTCTATTTCTCTATCCGTATTTCTATGCGTTTGAAAAATATTTGGCGTTGCAACACCGAAAAAAGAATCTAATAATAGTTACTAAATATTGAGTGAAATAATTTCAATCAAATTTTCGATATAATATAATCGAAAATAATTTTATTTTCCTAAATATTTAGTATTATCAAACACAATAATATAATCAATTGTTTGGTAATAATTACTAAATATTTAGAAAAGTAAAATTATTTTTTACTATATTAACTGAATTATTTTAATTGAATTATTTCAATTAACATTTGATAACTATTAACTCTTATTTTAGTGATCGTTGAAGAAACATTATCTCTCGGAAATGTTTAAATCTAGATCTACAATAGATGTTTTAAGCCTTAAGCCGTAAGAAATTACAGTCGAATGCGAGGAGAATAATTGACTACGGTTCGTCCATTTCTTATGGCTTACTTCGCAAATACAAGAAATTGATCAATTACAGTCGAATGTGAGAAGAATAATCGATTATGATTGGTCAATTCCTTCAGGCTTAAGGCTTACTACTCTATTGTGTTTGCGGATTAAAGATTTAAAAATCTATTGTAGATTCGGACTAATGGAGGCGTAAACAATTTGCAAATACGTACTCCTCCAATAGGCGTAACTGTTCTTATCACCATCTGAATCCACATCTGCGCTTCTTCTCAGCTCATGCAAACCGAAGTCGGCGATTTTCAGGACGAATCGTGAATCAACAACGCAGTTTGAAGACTTGAGATTACCGTGACTCTTCACTTCCGATGCATGGAGATATACCATACCACGCACGATATCGTGTATCAGGGATCCTCTGAACACGCGATCGAGCTTTATCTGTTCGTTCTCTAGTATATCCTGTCCAATAACAAAAGGTTAACATACTAGTGTAGCGCACATTGTTAATTCTTATGCGATATTCTTTACATCTAGATCAAACGTTTGAATATATATTGTACGCTTTAATATTGTTATATATGTCTTTAAATACGTATTCAATATGTGTATAAAATATTCTACATTTCGTGCGGCTCCTTTAACATAAAGTTTCTTCGAACAACTGTTCAAGTTTCATTCATGTTTAAAATGGTTATTCAGACAAGGCAAATTAATAATTCAAACGAGTACTTAAAGTTACACTATAAGGAAAGACAAGTATTCAATAAAATGGAGCTTTTGTTTCATATATAGAACGCCTGCAATGCTTATAGACAAATGCATTAATAGTCTACGCTTAGTCGTACATACGCTTCGGGTATTAACACAGTATGTATATCGTTTCCGATATTATTTGATATATAGACATGACACTACATATACAAAATGTTTCATATTTTATAACAATATTTTAATCATTTTTTTAATGAAAAGGAGGAATTATTCTTTATCATAATATATTTATTTATAATATATGTATATTTTTTGTAAATTTCAAAATATCCTATTGAAATTAACTGAATCAAAATCATAGTTATTCATAATTATTGTGTTAATTT